CGTGCGTGCGCGAGGACGCCGCCGGCCTCGTTCCAACCGATCCGGTTGGAACGGGGCGAGAAACCCACCCCTGAACTTTACCAAGCTCATTTTCTTAACCAAATGACTATAGACATAATGGGGATATAGGCATTCAGCAGACAGGCATATTTCTTTTTCTTTCTTTTTTTTTTTTGCTCAGAATTGTTGCTGAGTGTTCCAAACGTTCTAGAATGTTTCTTTATCCTCAACTATGTCATTTCATATTGTAGTAGTTCAGCCATTCTAATCATAGAATGGATCCTTGAAACTAGCCACCCCAGAGTTGTTTCATTCAGAACTCCAAACAAAACTAATTTCCCATTTGTATATTACAGTATTTAGATACTAAGGCCGAAATACAGGTATGAAACTGACATCTAAGTTGAAATAAACATGAAAGGCAGAAATAAATGTATGACTTTTAGGTGTAATACGTGATTTTCAATAATTTTATTCATAATTGAATTGTGTTTTTAAAAAGTCTTACTAGCAAGCTAAAGAGGGGAATGTCTCATATCATTGGAATACTGTCCTAGTGGATTAATTTTAAGCACCTGTGGTTTTTAAAAAGGCCATTCAGCTACATCATGTAGAGTTTTATTGGTAATTCTACTTGCTCTTATTTTATGGGAATAGTTGCTTCTGCTCCTACTTTGACAATACAAATTATGCTAAATTTAAGTAGGAAAGGATTAAGGGGTACAATTTTGTATGTGGCTCACTCTGCCCTTTTGTTCCCTCCCCTCCCCTTAGGCTGGTTAACTGTTGGACCCACACTCACAAATAGTAACTTCAATGCCGAAACATATACATCATATTTCACAGCTCCCAACTCCCACCTGACTGGTTGTACAGAAGAGATTGAGAGACTCAGACCAAAATCACCACCACCAAAAGATCGAGGAGGTGGTGCACCAAGAGGTGGAGGAAGAGGCGGGACTTCAGCTGGTCGAGGAGAAAGAGGCAGAGAGAGAAACCGAACTAATTTCAGGGGGGAAAGAGGTGGATTCAGAGGGGGACGGGGAGGTACTCATCGGGGTGGCTTTCCCCCTCGCTGAGCAATGAGAATCTTCATCTTTTTTCCTGCCTTTATCCCACTGAATTTTTGTTTAAAAAAATACTGTCATAGTTCTCCAGTTACCTTTATTAGCAGCTCACTCTAGAACTACTCACAAAAATATTTTTGTACCTATTATGAACCAGTCTTGTATAATAATCCAGATCTTACAATAAAGCACATTTACAGTGGAACTCTCTGACCTTGGTTGTTTTGTTGCAGTTGTTTCATTACCTCACTGGTATCTTCATGAGTGTATTTACTATCAAGCACATTTACTATCAAAATTGACTTAGCACATGATAGCTTTAGTTTTAATTTTAAGTTGTTTCATAGTTCAAAAACATAGTCATGCTTTTTTTATTTTCCAATATTTTTTAAACCCTTTTAATTAGATATTAATCATTCTAGGACAAATTTCCAGGACAAATATTGCTATTTCTGTTTCTTTTCCGGTGACTGAATTATATTTCAACTTAGATTCCAATAACTGAAAATTAGTGCTCCTATTAAGGGAAATCCCAAATATATATTAGTCTCATAGTAATTTTCGAAAACCACAAAAAATGCAAAAACACACGCATGTATGTATAAAACAACATTAAGTAAATCAGATCAATTTCAGTAACATTAACAATATAGTTTTTTTTTTAAAAAAAACGGCTTTAAGTAAAGCACTTTTGTTTTGAAAAGTATATTATACTGTAATTCTATATAGCTTGTCCAAGAAACTTATGGTAGAAAACCAGAAACCTAGATGTGAGATAGATTAAAAAATTAAAATTATTTAAGCCGGAATTTTAGTCATGATTGATTGAAAGCCAATCCTAATAGATACCCAATATTAAGCTGAAAACCAACCACGGACATATGGGAAAACCAGGTAATCCTTGACTGATGACTACAATTGAGCCCAACATTTCCATTACTAAGCAAGATAAGTGAGTTTTGCCCCTTTTACAACCTTTCTTGCCACAGTTATTAAGGGAATCGAGTTAGTAACATGGTTGTTACGTGGTTCTGGCTTCCCCATTGGCCACACTTGCAAAAGGTGATCACATGACATCGGAGGCACTGCAACAGTCATAAATACATGTCAGTTGCCAAGCATCTGAATTTTGATCACATGATGAAGGGAATACTACAATGGTGGTGTGTAAGTGTAACTAAAAACTGTAAGTCACTTTTTTTCAGTGTCATAACTTCCAACAGTCACTAAACAAATGGTTGTAAGTCAAACACTATATAATGGCTTAATAAAGTGTGAACCCAGGCATTAACCCCCAGATCATGTGATTCCCAATATGACAGTATAAAACCTGAAAAAACATAATGGTCTAATGATTCTAAAGAGAGTTATATATAAACATGCAGTTTTAGTCAAATAAAGAACTTTTATTTTAGGAATAAAGTTAACAATAGTATCTTTCAAGTAATAGTACATTTTCCAGGTCTGGGAAGTTAATACGTTGAACAGGTTTTAATGTTTAAATGTTAATTTACTGCAATAGTTATCCTTTAGGTAAATTCCAGTAATAGCAATTTCTACTTTGCTTTTTGCAAGGCATTAAATTTTGCTATGTCCTAAACAAAACTATCCCATATTCCTTAATACTGTCTCATAGAGAAAGTGTTACAATTCAATTGTTTTGCCTCATGTACAGTAACAGGAGTTTGGAGTATGTTAAACAAACCTTTGGCGGAAACTGAAAGGCCATGTGAATATGTTGAGATTGCATTTGGACATGGTCAATACAAAAAGATTTATTTTTTGGTCCTAAATACAAATTGTATGTAAAAGAATTAACCCCCCCTCCCCAAATGACTTCATTCCTCATTCCTCTTATCAACCCAAGAAATAATTAGTTTTAAAAATATTTACAAAATCAACAGGTGATTGGGAGGCACAGATAGGCCAGTTATATCTGGAGAGCCACAATTTCCATAGCCCCAATCTTTGGATGTTTTGCTGGGGCTGAAGAGTCCACTATTTTGAACTATGTCACAGCACCACAGCAAAATAATAAAAAGCACAAGAACATTAAATGCTTTGCAGTTTATTAAAATATGTGAAATGAGAATTGCATGTTTTACACAAATTCCAGGATTTCAAACCTTGCCATTAGAAAACTTCCTTTTAAAGAAGGATAAAAGGCTCTCCCATAGGAGTTATACCTGAGCAAATATTAGCCTAGTTTACATACCGTAATTATAGATGGCTACATTATTATGAAACAAAGCACTAATCTACAAAATTAGAAACTGTACAATAAGGTAGCAATATAAAGCACCTTGTGATGGTGGGTGGCCGTTCTTGAATAGGTTCTGAACAAAAGCACAGAGAACAAAATTCAAAATCCATTAGTTGAGAAGCTGACATATTTCTTTATGAACGCAACATAAGAAGTCCATATAAGAAGTTCCTCCGTAGATGTTCTTGTCTTCAATCAAAAACTGCTTGAAAACCATCTCCGTTTGCTCTCGTTGCTTCACAATCAGAATCTTTAAAAAAAATAGTTGAACAAAATGTACAAATAGTATGAACAAAATGTACAAATGCTGCTTTGAGTCTTATTTTTCAGCTTAATTGAAGAGCAAAAAATGTTAAGGTTATTAAAAAAAAATTCAAAGGAGGGAAATAGGCATTCATAAGAGTAACTTTTTAAGTAATCTTTTACCTTCATGGAATAGGGTGTTCTGCTTTGGAGCTGATCTATTATGGACCTCAGGTTTGAAGAGTAGGGATTATCCAGTTCTGGAAGACGTGACTATATGTAATGAATAAATACACACAAAGAATTAGCCCACATGAAAATGGCTATTCTGGTCAAATAGATTCTATGTCGCATAGATACTTGCAATGGATTTGAAAGGCTAAAAGTTGCTGACTTGTACAATGAAACAACCAATTTTTTTTGGTATGGAAAAAAATTCCTTAAAATTCTCTGTGAATGTAATTTTATTGACAAATTCATCAAGACGAATGATAAATATTTTATTTGTGATCAAAAATGAAATAAATTACAAGGAAGATTTGGAAGCTAAAATAGAATTTCATCAAAGCAACTATTTAATGTTCCTATTGAACCACCAAAAGCAATGAAAATTGAATAGTATTTAGCAAATCTGGAGGCAATCTAGGACCTATTGATTAATAGGACAATAGTCACATACAATTTGACACAGCCATTAATAAAGACATTATTAGATCAATGTGCCAGGCCAGATAAGAAGGCAAATATAAGACAGATGTTAACAAACAGAAGCCAGTTCAGTGGAAGGTTATCAAGATAATGAAGGATCTGGAAACCAAGTCCTATGAATCATACATTTCCATATGTATGTCATATTCTGTGCAACATGTATATTATTCTGTTGTATCTTATATCATCGTATATACATATTGCACACTACACAGGCACCAGTGAAATTCATTAATCTGTTTGTGGTGTTATATTGTGTTTAGGAGTCTCACAGCCCATGGATAGAAGCTGTTTTTAAACCTGTTTGTCCGTCTGGCTATACTTCTGGGTCTTCTGCCCGATGGTAAAAGTGAAAAGAGACACTGGCCAGGGTGTGAATCATCCCTAAGTATCTTCCTTACTCTGCTGAAATAGCAAGACCTGCAGATGTCAACCAGTGGTGTTAGGGGGCAACCAATGGTTTCTTGTGCCAAGTTGATCACTCTCTGAAGTGCCCTCCTGTCCGCAACTGTTAGACCAGTGTAACATACTGTTATACAGTGTGTGGACACTTTCTATTATGGACTGATAGAAAGAAGTCATCAACCATTGTTCCACCTGATTTTTCTGCAGGACTCTAAGGAAATGAAGTCTCTGTTGAGCCTTACTAACCACCAGGGATGTGTTGTTTTCCCAGGTGAGGTCTTGACTAATGAGCACTCCCAAGAATTTAAGAGGCAACCCTCTCCACACGCCCCCCCCCCCTTCCCTTTGCTGGAATATTCAAAGGTTGAATACTAGCTATATGTCTAGAATGTTTCAGCAGCTCTTAATAAGCAGGTGATAGAACTAGGCAATCTTTGAGATCCCTTCCAACCCTTGTTACTCTATAAAACTTTTT